AACCGAATAAGCGAAAAGACCGAATAAATTGTACCGAACAATGATATGACGCGATCAAATAGCAACCAGCGCAGAGTGAGAGGCACGCATTCTTTATTATGCAGCGCACACACGTCAGCAGTGTGGAAGCATTTAAACTGTCGGAGAAAGACGCAAAAATCATTACAAGCACCGACAGCGAGAGACTGTTTAGGACTGCAGCGCATGTCTTCGATGAGAAGAGGAAGGGGTGATTGTTGCTGGTTACTGTATGATGATTGAAATCGCGAAATGGCCTTAAACAATTAGTAAATAAACTGCAGAACGTTAAGTTTTCTAATACACGCGCGCATTGCATGTATTCTGACAGCGCTGCACGAACTCGCAGCAGATCTGCTTGTTAACCAGGGTTCAAAGTCCAAAGTGCGAGGAAAATCTGCGCTGATACAGTCGTCAGTTGCTCAGTCACATTTTTATGAATTTTTACAAGGCATGTGACAATGCGATACATACGACGTATTCGTAACGAGACTCATTTCTAAATCTGTCGTCAACAAAAATAAGCATTGAGGTCTTCCTGCGCATTTCCGCCAAAATAAAAGTTTTTCATAAAATAATTTTCATTTCGGTGCATCCCTACTTCAAAGAGAAAGGAAAAATTGAAATCGCATTATATGACCCCTTTAAGGAAAACCCAATTTGGAAAATAATAGGTTATGGATGCACAACACTAGAAATCTGGCTTTATTAATACCTACTTACAGACATTAATTATCTTACAGCAGATAACCAATATTATGGACATATAATGTTCTGTCAGTTGTTTTCACAATTAAAATGCAATATAAAACTTTACATGCTTTAGGGCTGCCACTAATGACTATTTTTATTTAGATTAATCTATCGACTAATTTATCTATTAATCTAAACCAGTTGTCGCCAGAACGAAACTGCAGAAAATAAGCATTGAGGTCTTCCTGCGCATTTCCGCCAAAATAAAAGTTTTTCATAAAATAATTTTCATTTCGGTGCATCCCTACTTCAAAGAGAAAGGAAAAATTGAAATCGCATTATATGACCCCTTTAAGGAAAACCCAATTTGGAAAATAATAGGTTATGGATGCACAACACTAGAAATCTGGCTTTATTAATACCTACTTACAGACATTAATTATCTTACAGCAGATAACCAATATTATGGACATATAATGTTCTGTCAGTTGTTTTCACAATTAAAATGCAATATAAAACTTTACATGCTTTAGGGCTGCCACTAATGACTATTTTTATTTAGATTAATCTATCGACTAATTTATCTATTAATCTAAACCAGTTGTCGCCAGAACGAAACTGCAGAACGTTAAGTTTTCTAATACACGCGCGCATTGCATGTATTCTGTCTTGAGAAAAGTTTCGATGGCAATGGCATTTTATTCTCCTCCGTATAAAGCGCAACTCAGCTGTGTTTACAGCGGTAAACAAGGAAACGCTATATTGCGGTCGGTTCATAAACAGTGTTGCCAAGTCCGCGGTTTTCCCGCGGAATTAGGCTACTTTAACACTGTTGCCGCGGGTTGGATGTATTCTCCTGAGTTTGCGTAGATTTATACATGATTTACCTTACAAATCTGATGAAATGCCGCACGTTGCGTTCCCAGATGAATGTTATAATAAACCCAAACTCACAACAACATGCAGAGATGGAGTTTGAGACGCTCCACACATGTAAATGATAACAGTTCCTGTGGAACTACTGTGAACGGAGCCGCTGTGTGACGCATGTACTTAACCTACACGCATGTAAATAATTAAAGTGCATATACTGTATTAGAACTGCATCGCATATAATTATTTAATTAAAGCGTTTGTGAATTCACAATTATGCTTAATTATCATTTTTAAGTGGGTTTAATATATCATGCAGCCTTGGAAAACAGACTAAACAGACTAGACTTGCCGGTTAGTCGACGCGAGCAAAATGAAGTCGAGGATTTAAAAAAAATCGAATAGTAGAATAAAATCGACGAATCGCGACAGCCCTAACATGCTTTAATCAGGAGTTTCCAAATTATTTAACCCAAGTATAAAGCAAAATGTTAAAAAATACAACGCATTTTACAATATTTTTTATTTTCAATAAACCCTAAAATCTAAAAATAATCTAAAATCAAAAAAGGTTTTAATAGGAATTAATATATATAAAATATAAAATTATATAAAAACTATATAAAAAATAAATAAATTTAAAAACCAATTAAATAAATAAAAACAAGTATATTTATTTCTGTCTTTTAGGTACATACTATAGAATTTCCTATACAACTCCTATATTTATTCTGTTTTAAATCTTATATATATATATAAAATTCCAACAGAGATTCTAAGAAAAAAAACACTAATCTAATCAGTGCTATTGCCACCAGATGTCATTTTAGACTTTTCCTGATTTCATGGTGGAAGATGTCAAATCATGTGACGATGGGCTAAATATAGAACACCTATTCTCTGGTTCAGTCATGACCCAGAGGCTCAAGTTAGTGTCATCTGGTTTCCCAGAGTTTAAATTAAGCTTAATTCAGATCACAACACAGAGTTCCTGTTTTAAAAGCAGATAAAGCCAAAGTGTTTTAGTCTTGGTTTGGTCACTGTGACTGGGATGTTATTTCACTGCTATAAGGTCATAACACTGAGCCAAAGCAACGATACTGCAAAAGATCAGTTTATCAGTGACTCCTGCCACTATCCATGTAGGGAAGGTGCAGAAGCTCTGGAAGGAGATCCACAATCCAGATAGCAGTTCTATTTATAGACTCATCGAGTCATTTGAATCCTCACAGACAGCTTGCTGAGAAAGATTCCTCAATTGTTTGAACATGTGACAGAAAATCTTTTGCATTAGTTCAGTAAGAAACATCCGAAT